ACATTTAAATATAATATTTATTTATATATAATTTATTATAAATTTTAGTTATATATAATAAATATTTAATGTGTGAAAAACATATAATAAAATATTAGTAATAATTATTTAGAAAAAAAACTCAAAACAGATAAAATAAATATCAAGTCAAGTTTAAATATTAATTTTTTTGTTCATTCCTGAAGTATCCAGGGTAACAGTAATTAATCTCCTTGTTAGGTTGGAGGTACTTTAAATAGTGGGATAGGTGGTCTCAAAATTTAACGCGGCTGTATACACAAGGCAGAATTTAAACCCTAACCATATTTAAGCGTGGATCAACTCCTATCGCCAAACAAATTTTGAATATTTGGTTCTTAATTGCTGATCCAAATTCAACCAAACAAATACAACATTATTAATGCAATTTATATTCTTCACGCATTACAAAAGAATTTATATTCTTCGCTAAACCACACGCAAACGTGCAATTATTAACACTTCCCAACAACTCAATCTCGTCCAGGTCTTTAATAGTACTATTTTGTTCTTATATATAAATTCTAATTATCAGATTTTATTAATATTTTAAAAAGTAGTTAATCTAATTATCAAAATGTATTAATATTTAAAAAAATTAGTTAATTTAGTGATAATAATAATTTATATATATGTTAAAATTATTGTTATACTACTTTTCTTTGTCTAGTTAATACTAACATATTTTTTAACTAATTAAAATATATGTCTTATTCTATTTTTTATCTTAATTATTATTTTTAATTAATTAAAGTACATGTTCTTTTTAAAATTATTATAATTAATGTATTTTATTAAATTAAGATAACATGTTTTAATTAGAAGTATTTTTGTCTAAAAATAATTAGTCCATAAGATAATATGAATTAAGTCTTATATAAAAAAATAAATAATTATTTTTGGTTTGGTCTTATAAATAGAAAAAGGAGGTAAAACTATATTTTTGTTTGACAATGCTCCCCTTGAATAAGGATGTTTATAGATTGGATTTGTTTCAATTCAAACTAATTAAATTTAATTGGTTTAAATTGGTTCGGTTCAAATTATTAGATACTCAATGAATTAAAAAAAAATAAAAAAATCTTAAAGTAAATAAATTTTTCAATATTAACTAATTTGATATATTGTCAAAAATTAACTAAATTGTTAGATTTGTAATATAATTTTTATTTTATTTTTTTAATCTACTTAAAGATTTCAAATGTTATAGTATGTGGAAATGACACTCAACATATTGCAATATAGTTTTTCTATGTTTATTTAAGTATTTGAAAAATGGAATGGAAAAATCTATATATTGCAACACAAAAATGCTTTTAATATAATCAAAATGATACTAACATATTAATTGTTAACCAAATAAAAAAATTAATAATATATAAATTAATTAAATTGATTTGGATTAGTTTAAATTTTAAATATGAAAATCTGATATCTAAATCAATCAATGTTAAGTTTAATTATTTTGGTTTGGTTTGGACCTCAACAAAAAAAATTAAACCAAATTAATTGATTTGAGTTATTAGATTTATCGAATTAATCCAATGAGCACTATTACCCTTTAAAGTTTCTTGTTTGTTTTCAAGATATTTTAAAAGGTCAATATATTTATAAAGTTATTTTAAATTTAAATTAATTATTTATTAATTATGAGTATTAAAATCTAATTAATATCAATTTTAATTAATAAAATATAATATTTTAATTATTATAATTTCAATTAATTTTAATGGTCAAATATATTTAAATTATTTTATTTAAATTAACATGATTAATTATAATTACAATCCTAAAAAATATTGAGATTCTGTCGAAATTAGATGAACATCTCATATTTTCTCTTTGTTTTCTCTTTTCTGTCATAAATTTTTTAAAGCTATCTATTGCATATCTTAGAAATTTAAATAAGTTTATATTTTTAACATCAGTTTAGTTTGTATATTCAATATTCATAAACAATAATAATTATTAAGTAAGACATAAGAATGAAAAAAAATTAAATAATAAAATTTAATTATGTAATCAAAATAATTAAAATATCAATTTGATTTCTACGCGTTAACTATAACCAAATATAAAAGATAAGAAGTTTTGGTTTTATAGTTTTTTTAACTCTATTTTTTGGTTAAATAATAATTTCATCCTACAGAAACAATTCACTATTTTTTAACCTTTATTATTATCTCTATATATTCTTAATAATACAGAGAAACATAGAGTATTTATTTATTTTTAATAATTTTTATAGATCCGTGAAAATAACCTCTTTCTTTTAGATTTATCTCAAAATAAAAATTAATATTTATGTTTTATCTCATCCTTCCCTATTTCATATTTTAATTTCATTCCAAATTTCCAATCCATCAAAACTAACTAAAGTTAGTGAATTAGGTTCATCTAATACCTCGAGGACGAGGTCGTTAATTATGCGAAGTCTAGTCTAAACAGTAACATATACTTTAAAATATTTTAAATAAATTCATTTGAAGTATACTTATAATTATTCAATTTTGATTAAATTTAACACAAAATAATAAAGAATGTATAATTATAATTCAATAGTTTGATCAATTTGAATAGATTTTTATTTATTTATCAATATTAATTATGAATAGTTAACAAAAGTTACATTGATAATTTTTATATATGTATGTGTGAGAGAGAATATTTTACTAATTTATATCTACTTATTTTACAAATCAAAAATATAATTTACTGAAATACTTATTTTAAAACTCAAGTGAAAGTAGGCTAATAAATTCTTACTTCCCCGTATTTCTAGATTTTTTTTAAACTTCAATCCCTTTAAAAAATATATTTAAGACGTATTTTGTTAAAATATTTGCGTTGAAAAATAAGTGAAAGCGGTTTTCTCTTTACAGCAATGATAGTAGGTTAATAACTATTAATTTAGTTGACATGCATTTTTAATACATAACTTTTATACTAACCATCAATGAAAAAAAACTTATAACTATTCAAATAGTTATAATAAAACTAAAAAAATAATATCAAGTTTAATTTTTATATATTATTTGTAAAAAAAATTATATTATTAATTAATTATAAATTATTAAAATAATTATTATGAAAATTAACAAATTTATCATATAATAATTTATTATTAAATTGGCGGTGTATTTAATTTTTCATCTCTTACACATTTTTGTTTGGGTATTGATTGTGGACTTATATTATTTATTCTTATATGATATTTTTTGTTTATTAAATATCAACTTGCCGGGTCAAATTAAACAAAGCGACGCGATTCGAAAACTCCACGACTTCAACTTTAGCTCGTTTTCCGACGCGCTATGATGCTGCGTTTCTTAGCGTCTCATCAATTTTCAAATTCAAAATTAAAAATACGTCTATATACTTTCTTAATACAACAAAAATACGCGCTATGACTATACTTTCCTATTAATTTATTTTAATTTTGATATAATTATTTTTAATCCGTTAAATTTCCTTATAATTTGTTTTTAAATTAATTTGAATAGCACAATTAATTAATTATGTTGGAATATATATTTTCATAAAAAATAATTGTTAAGTTTAAAATAACATGAACCATTAAACTTGGTGTGTTTATTTTCGTGATACGATATTTTTCAGATGATATAAAAAGTGGAGTTCTATTTTAAAAATAGGAGGATAAAAGATAAAGTAAGAAAGAGACAGTTTCCACGACAACGTTGGTACCTGTCTTAAATCAGGTTCATACACGTGTACTATACTTTCTAACTACAGCACGTGGCACCTTGCTGAGGATGAATCCGAGTGCCTTAATTTCCACCAATCAAGTATCACCAGCTGTCGTCAATTTGGGATATTGTAACACATGCTTCCCTCCGTGGCTCCATTCATTGATAACTGTTATGAACATTAAGCGAATACAAATAATAAGTTTTAAATATTGATAATTTTATTTCACAATTGTTAAAAAAAGTCTTAAAACTGATATATAGTTTATACAAAATTAAAACATTTTTAAATGTGATCTTTTTTATATAGGGACCAAATACGTTATGCGCTATATGTGTAAAGATTAAATTAATAGTGTATTGCATATATGAAAATTAAATTAATAATGTATAATAGAATTATTAATGTAAGAAATCATGTTGTTAATATTTAACAAATAAGACTAATTTAATAAAATTTTATGTATATGAATCAAATTAAGAATCTATAATCTTTGCAAGGACTAAATTATATTTTTAACTTAAAATAAATAAAAAAGAATAATTCTAACGTTTTAAATGATAATTGTTAATTCACTAAAAGAAAATAATAATAATTTAATTATAATATTCTATAACGTAAAAATTATTAAATTTTTTGATAAAAAATTAAAATCACTTAATTATAGCCTTTAATTAATTGAAATTACTTAATTAAAAGTTAAACAATTATTTAATTAAAAATTGGAAACTAAATGGTACAATTATAAATTTTAAGAATTAAAATTACATAATTAAAATTTAAAAAAAAATCTTCTCATCACGAAACTCAATCATCTATAACACATTTAATTTTTTTTTTTGTAAACGAAAAATTAGCAACGAATCAAAGAAAAATAAAAGGGTTTAGTTTGGGGTTGGTCATGAATATTCAAAGCCAGATCAGGAGAAATTAAAAAAACATAAAAAAAAAAAAAAAAAAAAAAAAAAAGAAGAAGAGGGAGTTACGTATTCACAAAAATACGTGAATCAATTATTTTTCCGTTTTTAACCGGTCCGCTCCTTCCTCCTGGCATTCGTTGCAGTTAGCCAGTTAGCCTAGCCTTCGATGGAAGTTACGATTTTACCCTTGGCCCCCACCTGCAACATCCAACGACCAGAATCCAGATCCGTTTCCTGACTCCCTCCACGTTCGCCACTTTATTCACAAAAATATGACATTCATTTCACGTAATTAACAAGTGCATATATTCAGTGAGAGTGCAAAGAAAATAACGAGAAATAAACGGATACAGGATACTATATAGTAATAATTAAATAAAATAATGAAAATGTAGGAATGCAATCGTTGTTTTATTTAACTCAAAGACCCATCCCTTTCTAATTCTTTCTCCCTTTCCGATTCACAGAAACAACTCCTCTCTACTCAAACCCTTCTTCCTCAGCCTCATAACAACAACAACATCAGCAACCCCCTTTCCCCAAACCCTAGAATCGCCACACACAGATAGATCTCCCTCCAATTCCCAACCAAAGCTTGTCCCAAACACCGTTGACCACACTCCAACACCCACACAAAAAACTTGCCTTTTTCTTTCCCGCTTCCCTCTTTTATTCGGCCTAGGAATGTTGGGTACTGGCTTGAACTTCGGCCGCGCTCGCGGAGAGGATCGCTTCTATTCGCCGGCCAAGGCTCGCCGGTCCTTTCAAACCATGGAGAATGACAAGCTGCGTAGGGCCTACAGCGACGTCACGTCGACCGCCAAGTCAGATTTGGCTAACCGGGTCGAGAACCGGCTCGCCTCGGAGGAGGTAAAGAAGGGTGGCGCGGTGCCCTCCTATGAACCGGTCGGGAACCGGCTCAGTAATCTGGAGCGGTTCTTGCACGCGATCACGCCCTCCGTGTCTGCTCAGCATCTCCCTAAGGTTTGGTTTTCAGTCACTGGAACGACTGTTTTTTGAAAGCTTTTAACTGGGTTGTTGCTGAAATCGTGTTTCATTTATTCAAATTGGGATCTTGGTGTTGATTGGAATTCGTTTTAAATATAGCGTCTTTCTCACCGGTGCATTCAATTGGAGGAAGGTTTAACATTTATGTGCGGGTTTAATTATGGAACGAAGAGGATGCATTTGGTAAATGAAAAAAAAAAAAAAAAAGCAAAAGAAGCAAAGATTTTGTGCAGGAAAAAAAAGAAAAAAAGAAGATTGATGACATTTCTATGTTTTTCCCTTTTTTGTGTTTGAGTGGAACTGTTTTGTGTGAAAGCTTTTTAACTTGGTTGTGTTTTGATTGTGAATTGGATCTTTCAGAGGACGGCGAGAGGACTCAGGGAATGCAATGCGGAGTTTCCGCCTTTCTTTGTTCTGGGTGAGTTGTGGGAATCATTCAGGGAATGGAGTGCATATGGTGCTGGAGTTCCGCTTGTACTGAATAACAAGGATAGTGTTGTTCAGTATTATGTTCCCTATCTATCTGGGATTCAAATTTATTCCCAGACTGCGAAGCCAACTGTAAAGTCAAGGTATATTGCTTGCTTCGGACCGTGTACAGATGATTGATTAATTTTAGTGACTGTTTGACAGGGTGCAAAATAAAAATAATAAAAGCTAAACAATGGGTTTGTTTTGGGTGGATAATGTTGTATATTTTATTTGGTGTTTAGGGATTTTAACTTTGTTGCGGGATTAAATTAGTGTTCATTTATGTTTTTCTACCTTATTGATTTCCTTGAGACAGTGATCCTTATTGCTTGTGTGATTTAGTTTTTTACTTGGTCGGGTGCTTTCAGCTAAGAGTTAGCTTCTATTTGGAATTTTTTGGTTCTCCATTTTATGGTGTGCAGATGTGTCAATACTACCTTGTTCTCATAGGGTTAGCTACACACCTGTATGATAATATCATTGTTTGGCTCTTTGATAGGCAATTCGGGGAGGATAGTGACAGTGACCTCAGGGACTCCAGTAGTGATGCTAGCAGTGATTGTGAAGCTGCAAGTGCGAGGGGATTGAAATGCACGAGAGAACAAAGGAATCTTCCCCATCCGTCAGAAGCGGTACCTCAAAGGATGGGTGGATTATCTTTGAGAGATCACCATTCTCTCCCCGAAGATGACTTTTCTAGTGATGATGGAGAATCTGTCAATTCTCAGGGTTACTTGATCTTTGAGTATCTTGAACGAGACCCTCCTTACAGCCGTGAACCTTTGGCTGATAAGGTGTGCTAACCGACCTACCCTGCCAATATTCTTGCCTTCCTTCACTTGTAACACATTTTGGTTATTTGTTATCCTGTTCCTTCTTTGTTGAGCTGTTTGGTTATTTTTTCTTCTGTGTGTGGATAGATAATGGACCTTGCTTTTGGTTTCCCTGAACTGATGACCCTTAGAAGTTGTGATATACTAGCATCAAGTTGGATATCTGTAGCCTGGTATTCTTCTTTACTTACGTGCTTTGATACTCAGCTTACAAATGCCCAAGGGACTGACATGTTCTATGATTTACTTCTAGGTATCCAATTTACCGGATACCAACTGGTCCAACACTAAAAGATCTAGATGCTTGTTTTCTAACATACCATCATCTTTGTACACCCATGGGAGGTAAGATGGATTTTTGCTTCATTTGTGCTGTCGTGGGTTTTGCTTTATAACAAGTTTAGGAAAGATAATAAAACATTGTTCATATTTTTTAGATTGTGTAAGGATGTTGGCATTAAACCATTTATTATGTTGCAATATATGTAACTATGTACTATTAATATGGAATAGAGACGTGAATATGCATCCCATCTGCAACATAATGAGAGGTTTCAAAACAAAAAGTTTATTTATAACCTTTCCTTATTGTGTACCATAAATATTTTAGAACCTCCAAAATTTCATGCGATGGATATGATGCATATTGATGTTTCATTCCATAATCCATATATTGGTTCCATAAGGTTCCTTAGTTTACAACTATATGATTATATGGTTTATGTCTTGGTTCCTGTCGTATGCCATCTTTCTTCCATTGTTTTGTTCTTGATGTGTTTGTGAATAACAGTGAATCGTTTTATTGCTTTCAATGATTTTGGAAATTTTATTGGCCGAAACTGATTTATTTAAAAAATTTTGCAAAATGTTATACTTCTATATTGAAATGTCATTTTAGGATTAGTTGGGGGTTCTTTATTATTCTTACTAGAAAGACTTGTGTTGTCTTATCATGGGAACCTGTTTCTATTTAAGTGCACATTGTCATTGGTGCACAATAATGTAATTATGGTGAGATACTGCTGGTGATAACACTGATTTGCACCAGTTGATTTATTCGAGATATGCATTTCTTTTTTCAGGTTCGCAAAAGGTGCAGGCTCCAGCTCCACATCCTACTGAAATGGACAGTGACCAGAAAATGTCTTTACCTGTTATTGGTCTTGCTTCATACAAGTTCAAAGGATCTATGTGGACTCCTAATGGTGGATATGAACGCCAATTAGCTAACTCTCTTTTGAAGGCTGCGGACGACTGGTTAAGACCACTTCAAGTCAATCACCCAGATTTCTTGTTTTTCAGTCGTCGATGATGATAGGTTGACTGTCATATTTATAGTTTGGGCATGTAAGAACCAAACGTTAGTATTTTCCAGTCCCTCTTCTTTTGGTTCATTTCTTAGATCTCATAGTGATGAAGTTGGAGTTAATCACCTATTTGACAAAGGAAAAAAGAAAAATGGAAAAAAAAGATGTTACGCACTGTTGTCCTTGGCAATTCACCGCATTGTTTCCTTTCGTAATAAGTGAAAGAATCAGAAAAGTAATGGCAATAAAGCAGTGAAGCTTTGGGCAAGCGGCAGTGTTGAGGCTACTTAAGAATGTGTTCATATTGATGCACAAATTAACAAGCAACTTCTCAAGTGTTGGTTGATATGTTAGGAGGTTGTTTGTTTGCTAACATCAGTGAGTCCTACATCAGTTGCTTCTTATCTGTTGGTAACTTGGTATGGTTTTGTTAAAGAGAACAGGCTACTTTTTTTCTGTCCTGATGATGCACTATATAGGACTTGCTTTAATTTAATGGGGAATATTGTGTTGGATATACTCGTGCTTGAATTGCCCCCGAACTCTCTTTATTTGAATTCCTATTAGTTATCTTTCTTAGCTGCATTACCTAAAAAGGTGTTTTTATTGAGTTTCAATACAACGAAAGGTCCCTTTGTGTTAGATATGGGTAGAATTCTTCTCGGCTGAAAAAAGTATTTGCATTTTGGGAATGTTGTTTTAAAAGTGAGTGTAGATGAATCAGTTTTGATTTGGGTGGTAAATAAAATCACTTTTGAAGTATTTGTAGAAATGACATTTTCGAATACTTTTACTTTACGAAATGGTTAAAATTGTCAACTCTTTAACTGAAATTCTACTTGTTGCAATTTTTTCTCTCCTTTCAACTCAAAAATCAAAATATCACATCTTTTACTGTATGAAGTCATTTTAAAGCTAAATAAGTAATTGTTCGAAGGGAGAAATCTAAGGATTTTTAATGATAATATTAACATTTTGTTAGGAAAAATCTTAAACACTGCATTTATGTGGTGAATTGAAACGGAAAGCGGAGAGGTTAAAAACAATTGGAAAGAAAAAATTGACAAATACGATATACGATGGGTGAAAGAAAATAGGATGAAAGTGAGACACAAAAGAGTGATACCAATGTATCATTACCTGTTAGACCAGTTAACATACTACCATAATTTAATAATTTAAGTGTTGTGATTTATCATTATTCAATTAAATGTTAATAATTGTTTTTCTTTTTACTAAACATTAATTATACTGACAGAATCTCCGTGCATAGCACCCACCTTTTAATTCATCAAGTTCAGATTAATGTATAGTTAAAAGACGAAAATTTTGAAGAAAAAAAAACTCATAAGCATTTAGTTCATCTTGTTCAAATTGATGTTTAGTTAAAAAAAAAAAAAATTATTAGTTCATGTTTTGCTTTCAAAGTAATAATTGTGATAAGTTAGTTTTTTAGTTGAAACTTGAAAGAAAAAGAAAAAGAAAAGATTCATTGAGTATAAGAGAGATCTTAATTATGACAAGAGGAGGCAGGATTCTCCCAAACTTTTCTTTATTTATATATATTTTAATATTATATTTATATATTATTATATTATTAATTATAATAAAATTAAAAAAATTAAATAAAAAATGAAAAATTATATTATTTTTAATTAATAAAAAAATTAATTTTTATATATAAAAAATTAATTTGAACCTCTCAAATTTTTTATCCAAGTTTCACCGTGATTGAGTATATATCAATCAGCACTTGAGAAGCTGCTTGTTAATATGTACATCATGAACATATTATTAAATGGGTGTTTGGAAACGCGTCCGAATGATAAAAATCACGTCATTTATTATTGAGAACGTGGAAGCTAGAACTATTTCCTTCTATCTCAACGTGAAAATTCGTGTTGAGAACACGGAATCAAACACGCTATAAGTAGCCTCAACAATGTCGCTTGTCCAAAGCATCATTGCTTTATTACCATCACATTTCTGATTCTTTCACTTATTACGAAAGGAAACAACGTAGAGAATTACTAAGGACAGTGTTTGAAATCTTTTTTTTTTTTTTTTTTTCATTTTTCCTTTTTTCCTTTGTCAAATATTAATAGGTGACTAACTCCAACTTCATCACTATGAGATCTAAGAAATGAAGCAAAAGAGGGAGTGGAAAATAGTAAGGTTTATTAAACGGAGAAAGTATAAATATATTACTGTCACCTTGTCATTATCGACGGCTGAAAAACAAGAAATCTGGGTGGCTGACTTGAAGTGGTCATAACCAGTTGTCAGCAGCTTGCAAAAGAAAGCTAATTGTGTTCATATCCACCATTAGGACTCCACACAGATCCTTTTGAACTTGTATGAAGCATGACAAACAACAAGTAAAGACATTTTATGGACGCTATCCATCTCAACAGGATATGAAGGCAAAGTAGGAGGCCTACACTCTTTGTGAACTTGAGGAAACATGTCTCAATAAAGCAACTAATGCAAAGTAGAAAATAGACTATAGTTATCCTGTGCAGCATCTCACTAGAATTATCATTATTAAATAGAAACATGTTCCCATGTTAAAAGAACACATATCTTTGTAGTAGAATAATAAAGAATTCTAACTAATCTAAAACGAAATATAATTTTAAACAAGACAAACACATTTTACAAACTTCTGAAAAATGTGTCTGGTCAAATAAATTTGCTAAAATCACTGAAAGCAATAAAATAATGCACAACATATCAAGACATAAGCAATAAACTCATGATTGTAAACTAAAGAAGCTTGTGAATCCAAATTTGGAATATAGACATGAGTATACATCCTATTCGTTGCATGAGGAGAGATTTTAAAATAACATAGCATAAGGAAAAGTTATAAAATAACATTAATGGTATTCAATAAGTGTATTTTAGGATGTACGTTGATGTCTCCATTCCATACTTATGATGCATTGATACATGTAGTAACTAACATACACAAGACAGAAATTTATGGCGTCATATACAGTGGGAAAAGGCTTAGTTGTTGTTTTACTTTTACATAGTAACATATGACAAACAAGCTTATGGTTTAATGCTAACATCCTAACGCAACAATCTCAAATTTATGAAATTTATTCATTTAAGGAAACTTATTTAATTTAATACACTATCTTATTTTTTCTTGAACTTTGTTTTAAAGCAAAACCAGCGCACTACGGCAAAAATAATTAATCAAATCAAAATCATCCTACCTCCGACGAGCATGTAAAGATAATCAAGAATCCAACATCTTTCAATCTTGGACCAATTTCTACATTGTAATATCAGCCACCGTAATCACCACTTGAATTGAGTCCATGAAATCACGGTCACAATCCTTCCCTAAGTGCATATTTAAATCACGGTATTCCAACGTCAATGGGAAAAAGAATCAGTTATAGAACCCATTTTAAAGAACAAAAACAATCAATTATTAGACAGTTTTTTTCACCACTGGTCATCCATAGACTCGTAGTTGGTTTGGGTTGATGCGCCACCGGATGATTTGCTGCCTTTGTTTCTAAATAATAGTTTACGCAATCACTGCGCACGTAATTGGTGCAGTTGTCTTCCTTTTTTCTTTCTGTTGCTTTTGCTTTCTTTATGTTCTTGTAAAAACAAAAAATAAATTGACTTCCATGACTTTCTCAGGAAATTTTTTTAGCGTGAAAGGAATAAATACAAAAACAAAATTTACCTATCAATTATGCTGATTCAGTTCTGAGAACGACAAAAAGAAAGACAACAAAAACATGCTTATATAACCACCACGAATGGCTTATTATATAGCCACACAACCGTCTTTAATTATTTTTTAAATTTAAAATAAAAATACCGTCATTTTATTTAAAATTAAAATTTTATTTACTGTATGTTATCTATAAAAAAATAATTCTGTTATAACTAATTGAAAAAGATTTTACCTACTCAATAAAACTAATTCGGTTATACCTAATTGAAAAAGATTTTACCTAATCTGTGAAAATAATTATAAATAAATTTTGTTGCTAGAATTAGTTATCCATACATTTCATTCTTTATAGACATTAGTGGATAGAGATAATTTATATTAAAGATAAAATAAAAATATGTTGGCTTAATTAGTGTTATGATTAGTTTATTAATTTCAAAATTTTAAATTTAATAAAGAAATATTATTTTTTTTAAAAAATTTAAAATAAAAAAGATAATAGTCAATAAAATGTAAAGATCAAGGTGGTTAAGAAAAAGGATATCTTCTCTTTATATTAGTATAAATATATTTATGTTATTTTCCATCGAACATGATAAAAATCAATATAAGAAAATGATGATGAGCTTTGAAAGTGTAAGCACGTCAGATTAGATTGGATTTAGATGAATCTATTATTCGATTCAATCAAAATTTAACAAATTAAATTAAGTTATATATATATATATAGAGAGGAGGGTTCAAACGACACTGGTATAACTTTTACCAAGTGTTACACCGCTCAATAACTTTATATTAAATGTGAATTTTGAAAATCCAACCGTTAGATTGAAAGTTCATATTTTAGATCATATATGTCAAATTTTGTTAAAATTGAACAACAACTTGAAGGTAATCAAAGTGTTCATATTTTAGTATATTTTAAAATGTATATATTACGTCAATTTTGTTTTATGAGAATGAAGTATCAAATCATCTTAGATTAATATAAAATTTGTTATATATGATCTAAGAGATATGAACTTTCAATCTAACGGTTGGATTTTCAAAATTCACATTTAATATAAAGTTATTGAGCGGTGTAACACTTAGTTAAAGTTACACCGGTGTCGTTTGAACCCTCCTCATATATATATAATTCAATCCATCCAATTCGAAGTGATTGGATTGAATTAGGTGAATTGAGTTAAACATGATTAAATTTATTTATTTTTGTAAAAGTTTAAATATTTCATAATAGATGTATTTTATATCTTGTTTTGAATGTAATATTACTAATTAATAAAGTATAATGATACTAATTAAATTCTAAAATAAGTTTATTGATTTGTTATAATGTTATCGGCTCAAACAATTAACATTAATAATTTAAAATAAATATGTTATATTATTATAATGTTATCAACCAAAAAACACAAGATCTGTTGCTAATTAAGAATGATAAAGAGTATTGTCCTTACCAAATGATCATCCAAAATACTAAAAACATAAAACACATTACCCAACTTGTGTAATAAAAAGTTCAATCTAATTTACTAGATCAATTTGATTAGGTCTAACTTGAATACTAAAAAGTTCAATCTAAACTTACTAGATCAATTTGAGTCAATTCACATTCGCAAATTATTTGTACCCATTTACACTTCTAAAATAAAGTATGGTCCATATGAGTCAATGTTTCTTTTAAAATAAGATTGAAAGAAAAAGATAAACAAGCTTCCTTTATATAAAATGACAAAATATTTAATATATTATTTAACGATTATAATTAAATTTTGATTATCAAATAAAGTTAATATTTATTGTGATCAAATATTGATAACTATCTTTTATATATATATATATTATATATATATATATTATGAGACTTAAT